CTACCACATTTCCAGTTCCCCCAAGCAAAAAGACAACTCTTCCTTATGGTACTGTAAAAAGGTTCAAGGTTGTTCCTTGCTTTTCTTCTGTTGCACTCTCTGGGCTTTCTCAACAACAGGTGGTAAGAATTTACAGACAGCTGTGTGGTAATTGTTGTACAAATTTAAATTGCTAAACTATTTGAGTAAGAACTGGCAGCAGCTTACCGGTGAGCTGTCAAAAGCAGAAAGGCTTGATCTAGTTCAAGAACAAATCACAAGCTGTTCACGGGGCGAGGGCACAGGATCCTGCACGTGGAACCGCACTGCCACTGGCTTCTGAACTACAAAGAAATGTTCAGTGCTCTCTGCTTTAAAAAAAAAAAAAAAAAAAAAAAAAAAGGCTTTTCAAAGCCTCTTAAATTAATGTGAATGCTGTTAAGTTGGTTCAGTAGCCTGAAAACGTGGGGGCATAGCCTCATTTCCTCTCACAATAAAATTGTAGGTAACAGTGCCTCAATTCTATATGCTTTCAAGCCATATTTTTGCTGCAATTGATTTATTTTCTCCTAGATTTTTCTGGTTTTAAGAATTTTGTCAGAAATGCTGGTTTCGGGTTGGGGACCCAAGCTGAGAGAGCTTTAGACGGAGCTCACGCACAAAAAAACCAGCTTTGGTAGGGTGGGGTGTTTTAATAAAAGGATGTGTAGCAGCACTGTTTCTCAAAACTCACTAAGAATAGTCTTTAAAAAGATGACTTGCTAATGCATCATTACATAAATGCCACAACTTTCTGCAATAAAGCCACCTAACCAGACCCTAACCTTAGATCCTGACCTGCGCCATTCCCCAGGGCTGGAAGCTCAGCCTGGCAGGCGAAGGACTGACCGTGAGGGGACTGCGTGTGACTCAGTGTCCCCCTGACAGCGGTTCCCCTCCTCACTGTGAAGCAGTCGATGTTGGTGTGATGCTTCTCCAAGTTGGAAGTACTGTGTGGAGGTGCAGTGGGATCTGGAGAACAGTCACATAACTTCTATCAAAATGAAGTTCCTAAGATTGCGTTAGCCTAGAGCCGCTGAACTAAAAATACCACTCGCTTTGGCTCTCATTCAAGGTATGTTTGAAAAAACTATCGAAAGCTCAAGGCAAATATCTCGATGTCAAACAAAAAAACCTCAGCCCAGAGTCAAGGCTGCATTTGATCGGTTAAATTCAAATTGCCTCATACAGCGTCACTCCCACGAATCCATTTCAAACACTGAGAATTCAGCTTCTCTGAGCTGCCAAGGAGGAAAATCAAGTTAATTTTCTCTTTGACACAAATGGAGAAGTCTGTGTAAGGCAAAGTGCTGGAGTCAAGCTTAAGGAAAGCATGTTTCTGGGTCAGCTACAAGCAGCTTCAGAAGTATTTAACCTCAGTAACGGATTAAAGGTCGAAACCACATTCTCTAGGGCAGAGGGACAGGATGCCATCCAGAGGGACCCTGACAGGCTGGAGAGGTGAGCCTGTGCAAACCTCAGGGAGTTCAGCAAGGCCAAGTGCAAGGTCCTGCACGTGGATCGGGGCAATCCCAAGCACAAAGACAGGCTGGGTGGGGAATGGATCGAGAGCAGCCCTGAGGAGCAGGACCTGGAGGTGCTGGGGGGTGAAAAGCTGGACATGACCCAGCAGTGTGCACTGGCAGCCCTGAAGGCCAACCGTGCCCTGGGCTGCATCCCAAGCAGCGTGGGCACAGGGCAAGGGAGGGGATTCTGCCCCTCTGCCCCGCTCTGCTGAGACCCCCTGGGAGTCCTGCGTCCAGCTCTGGAGCCCTCAGCACAGGACAGAGCTGGAGCTGTGGGAGCGGGGCCAGAGGAGGCCCCAGCAATGATCTGAGGGCTGGGAGGAAAGGCTGGGAGAGCTGAGGCTGGTCAGCCTGGGAAAGAGAAGGCTGCGAGGAGACCTTAGAGCAGCTGCCAGTGCTCGGAAGGGTCCACAAGAGAGCTGGAGAGGGGCTGGGAAAAGGGCCTGGAGTGATGGGACAAGGGGTGACGGCTTTAAACTGAAAGAGGGTGGGTTTAGGTTAGATATGAGGAAGAAATTTTTTGCTGTGAGGGTGGTGAGGCCCTGGCCCAGGCTGCCCAGAGGAGCTGTGGCTGCCCCCTCCCTGGCAGGGCTCAAGGCCAGGCTGGACGGGGCTGGGAGCACCCTGGGCTGGTGGAGAGGGTCCCTGCCCGTGGCAGGGGGGTGGAACTGGGTGATCTACAGATCCCTTCCAACCCCCAACCATCCCGTGATTTACAGCCACACCCCTTCCAGCCTGCAGCGACGCTCATTCCAACGCCCTTGCCGCAGAGCCGGGTGACCACCGCCTCCACAAAACGGGCGGCCTCCACTACCACGACATCAAATTTAGGCTTCGTGAGAGGATTTTTAGCGCGCCAACCCCCCAAAAATAAAAAAAAGAAAGCGCTACCGACTTGCCTTTACCCCCCGCTCTCACTCGGGGTTGAATTATTACTGTTGTGGTAGGTATAAAGTGGGATTTTAGAGGGAGAGCGGGTAGAGAGCGGCCTGAGGGATGCGCC